TCTCATCATTCCTTACCTCTGGCCCTCCATTTTCTCTCCTACAGCATTAGTGTGGTGGACTAGAAGAAACTTATGGCTCATTCTTTGATTTCTATTTGTTACCACATAAACCGTCCCACACCACTAATCAGGAGGACATCTCTGTGAATCAAAATAGTGGATATCCTAGTCATAGTTGGGAGCTTGGAATGTAGGCCCTTTATACAATACCACATGATGTACTTATTTGTTTTTCTACAGTAAGGATGGTATCCTTGCAACATGCTTTAGAAAAATTGCCATTTCAATCCAGATACTTCCAATGACACGATTCCCTGGCATAGTATGTGTTCAATACATGTTACCAAATTCCATTATGTTACTCATTTCTCAAAGTAAGGAAAGGCTCTTATATATGTTTATGCTTATTTTTCCACTTAGAAAATTCTAACTTGACTGTGGGTGATGGGGGAAAATAGAAGATTCATTTTGATTCCACAGAGCATATTAGTTACTATTCAGATGACTAGAGCAGTTGTTGGAAATGTCCGTGGGAATATTAGACAATAGAAATTAGTGATAGCATGAAGATAAAGAGACAAAGTCACATCATTAGATACAAACTTATGACAGGGAAAAGAGAGTAATTTTACTTATCATCATATGATAATAAGCAATTATTATATATATATATATCACATATATATATCATATATATTATAATTAGTAATTATACTAAGAAATTATCCTTACTATTTAAAATTGTTTAAAAAATCAACTATTGACCAAATGATTTCGAAATTTATAAAGGTAGATCAAGGATGGCAGTTTTGGTGGGTGAAGGTAAAAGTAAGAGAAGAAAAGGAGTTAATTGGTCACAAACCATGTGGCTTAAGAAAATAAATTAATAGTAATTAATATTAAACAACTTGCTTTGAAGACTATTCTAAATAAAACTTCCAGAAATATCTTTCTTAAATAAGTATTTCTTCATGTACCTTTTCTTCTCAAACAACTTGCATGTTATATTCTATTTCCAAATATTTTGTTTCAAATTCTCTCAGCCTTCACTTTTCACCCCTAATATAACCCATTCTCACATTATTCTAAACAGCTTAGGTTTCTAATACTTCACCTAGTGCACTCTGCTATTTTTTCCTTGTACCTCTTTTGATGCCTTTCAAGTCTTTGCTTTTCTTCTCTTCCTAAACTTCACCCAAAGCAAATATATCCCAATATGTCATCCTTGACCCCTTTTTCCACATTCAGAAACAAATAATCTATGAATATTAGAGCTATATGGTACTTTTGAT